AGAGATAGGAGGCAAAAAGAATAATAATATCGAAGAACCATAGTGTTATTGGATATTATAAGTCACAAGAAATGCATACATCTGCGCCAGACATTGACAACGATGATTTTCAGGCATCTCACCAACTGCCTCCAGCCATTGGTTTTTACCGCCCCAAGGACCCCAACCAGGAAGTCTACACCTTCCTGCGTGACTTAAACTAACTGTTGTGGATTCCATTGACTGATGAAGCCATGTTTTCATTTGACCACCACTAGCTAACTCTTTTCCGACATGTGCATCTTGTGTCAGTTAACTAACATTACCCATTGTCGAGGAAGGCGATGGATGGCTAAGCATGCATGACACATGTCCTAACCATCTCAATCGATGTAACTTCACAACCTCGTCGATTGATTTCCCCTCTTTCCTTACCTAGCACTCCACCGACACCTAACCTCAATATTACTCACCAACCTAGTATACCACCACCTAACACAGGAAACAGAATGCAGACACTTATGGTCAAAGATAGCTAGTCAGGCTTTCTGTCTTCCACTTTCAATGGCCATGTGTCGCTCACAGCCATAAAGGAGTACACAGCGAACTACTGAGCAGTACCCACGTCTTTTAATCGATAGTCAGCCGGATATCACGTCTACGCCAGAGACGGCGTGAACTGGCATATGCGAAGCGAGTCTTCTGTATCCGTGCCGAGATTTCGTCAGCGATCAACCCACTGGCAATGGCTGATGCAATTTCCCAAATAAGTGAAGTGGTCAACACGCTCCATCAACCACTTCACTTCCTATTTCTAAGCTAGGAATCAGTGTAGTCTACTGCTGTAGCATCATCTTACATTCGACAGGAACGATTCACAACCCAAACATTCGAAGATTTCTGCTGAAGGTGTTCAGAAGACTTTGCATTTTGTCAGCGTCTTCACCTAGAAGGACTATATCATCTGCATATTCTAAGTCGAGATTATTTCCTGGTAACAAGTCAATCCCTGATTCTCTAAAGTGAGTTAGGGTTAAGTCCATTAGTACATCTAGGATGGAATTAAATAGAAATGGGGATAGTGGGCATCCCTGACGGACACCACTAGTTGTCACCACCTCAGATAACAACTCACCATAAGCTCTCACCTGGCTGACTGCATGAGTTCGAGAAAAGTACCTTGATCAGTGCGATGTATTTCCTCGGCAATCCCTTCATGGCCAAACATGGCCATAGTACCTCTCTGTCGATGCAATCGGATGCCGCCTTTACGTCAAGAAACATGATGATTGTTGGACGCCTACGGTAAGTATGCCTATGTTTCAGAATCTGTCGAAGGGCGAATGTATGATCAATACACCCTCTTCTTGTTCTAAAGCCTGCCTGGTGCTCCCGTGTTTGTTCCTCCCGAGAACTGCTTAGTCTACGCATGATTATTGACCCTGGAACTTTAGATACCATAGTTTTCAAGCTAATCCCCCTGTGACTTGTCTCCCTTTGTGCATATCGGGATAATGAATGACTTACACCAACCCGTCGGGACTTCCTCTGATTCCCAAACGCTGCCTAATACCTTAGTTAACGCAGATAGTAAACTGTCTCCACTACCTTTAAACACCTCTGGAGTCATTCAATCAGGTACCACAGCTTTGCCTCGTTTCAGACTAGTGACAGCCTTAGTAACCTCAGTTAGGGACGGAGGACCTGTGTCTATATCCCACTCAGGTGAGGTGTTGGATGTTAGGTAAGTTGAGCGTGGCTGTAGGCCAATTCAACTGCTCCTCAAAGTGTTCTTTCCAACGTTACAGTTGTCTATCCTGGGAGTTCATTATGGAACCATTTTTCTCAGAGATTGTTTCACTTATCCTTTGCCTTTTCCCACCTGTCTCTCTGATAAGCCTAAATAGTTGTCTGGTGTTACCAATCGCCGATGTCTTTTCCACCTCTTTTGCTTTTATTGCTCACCACTGTTCACGTCGTTACGAAGACTTCATTTGCAGCTTTCGCTCATCATAATCGGAGCTCGGCGGAATCAGTCTTCTTGCGTCAATCATTTCGGATGAGAGATCCAATGGCTCTTATTAACTTTTGGTAAAAGGCCAACTGTATGCTGTGTCAGGCTACCTCAGTAGGAGGAGTCTTGCTATCGACCTCAAATACTCGTTTCGCTATTTCTTCCTTAAACGGGGACTCAGAGTCTCGATCCAGTTGGGGATGTAACTGCTTCGCTGCCAACAATCTTTTATGTCCATTTAGTCGTAAGCATAAACGTGAGCGAACCAGGGCGTTATCGAAGTCTACGCACGTGCTCCAGAAGGAGCGGTAGTCCTCTATTGACCGTCGTTAACGATACCCTATTGCTTTGTGGTCTATCTGAGTCCAGCGTTGATTTGGTGATGGAGGTCGCCACCAGGTCACGCAATGTCTCTCTTGGTGCCTAAAGCCAGTGCTGACTAGAAACAGATGACTATCTGAGCAGAACTGTAGAAGACAATCACCATTTTCGGTTCGTTGACGTACCACCTACATACTTCTCAGTCTGGCATAACTTCCCTACTTGGGCATTGAAGTTGCCTGCTAAAACGACTGTGTCTGAGTGTTCTGCTTCTTGCAGCAACCTAGACAGTTTCTGGTGGAAATCATACTTTAATTCATCCGAACTGCAGTTTGTTGGCGCTTAAGGGGAGACTATGAAAAGACAACGACGGGTGATGCCGTCCTTTCTTCTTCTAACAGAACCGTTCAGATGGACTGCACACATACGACTGTCTACTGGGATCCAGTCAACAGGGGATTTTTCTGCTCAATGCTATCCCCACACCTGCGAGTTCTCGCGAACTAGCTGAGGGGTCTCCTGACACCCTTAAAGTGAATTTTTCAGATTCACCTTGTTGGCCGGGTGAGGTTAAGTGAATAACCACACTCGGGTCTTGTATGCGCGTCTCCGAAACACAACATACATCCATGGCTCGAGATGCCAGAGTTCTTGCTAGTGATGCCTGTTATCCGATTTGGCAGAGGGTCCTGACGTTGAATGCTCCTATATGAAGTTGGCGACGTGGCTTTAAGAGGCTGTCGGGGATGTTTCTATGGCTCTCATCGTTGTTTGTGGTCACAGAGTGAAAGTAATTCACTAGCCTGAAGAATAGAACTGGCTGTAGTAGGGAAGTAAGATGATGCTGATGTGGGTAAAGGAGAATGATGACCAGGAAGGCTTCGTGTGCTCTTGGTAGTGTGTGGGCGGTTGTTACTTCCTGGCTGCCCACACCGTGGAAGTTGATTGGTTTTTCGGGTACCCGGAACAGAAAGAGGGCTAGTATTGCGTGACCGCAGAGCCCAGGGGACAACTGCTTTTGGCTGGTTACATACGGCCTGTATGAACTGGGTTCTGGGATTGGTTTCGTATTAGTAAACTTACCGCCCGTTACGGACCACCGTAGGGTGAGGCGGGATGTACTATTGTTTGGGTCGACCTTTTCTTACCCCCGCTCTCCAGCAGAGTGAAGGGACAGCATAGCTGGCATGCTGGTCATCTGACAGAAACACCTTATTGCTGTTACACCCCTGTTTCCCAGCAGAACTACTTCGCCCACAGACCCCCAGCGCAGTGTAGAAAAGAAATTCTTACACAATGCCGGTAACTGCTTTTAGTCTAATCGCTATCCTAACAACCCTCCTGGAATGGTAGGACCTGCAGGAACAATAGTTGCAGTAAGTGAAGCTTGTTGGGTCATTGTGATGTGCAAGCCCGACCACCACGTCAAAGTAGCAGCTATCGGTCTATATTGTCTGACCCTCAATGCCTCTTTTATTTTTAACTCTCCCCTAGTATCTCATATAGTAGAAAGGGAAGTCAGTGCAAAAGGTTATAGGCTCGTACTACCAAGCATAGGAACCCAATGATACCGTAATTGGTCCGTGTTCTATTTGACGGATAATGAAACTTATGAATTACCCTGTTGTTAGCTAAATTAATTGGCCCTTTTATTATGCCTTTTATTATTATCTATGGTGACACTACCTCAATCGACTGACAGTCTTAGCTACTAAACTTTTTACAATTTTGTATATATATATATATATATATATATATATATATATATATGACTTCACTGTCACTACATATACCACATAAGAACTATCATTAGAAACCCTACAATGCTATCCTTATAATTGCTTTTAATATTATTCCATAAAAGTAGATGCAATAATGTACCAAATGCTGCAAATTCCGAACTGTATCATTAGTACGGTTGTGGAATAAAGCAAATTATTGTCGTTGCTACTAAAATCGGCCGTCGAGGAAGGCGATGGCTGAGCATACATAACACAAGTCCTAACCACAAAGCGAATAAAAACTAAAAATAGACTCATGCTAATAGTAATGGGTTTTTTAATTGCAGAACCTGAAAAATTTATTTTAAACCATTGTTCGCTCTGATTATTGTTGTTCTGAATAAATAATGGATATTTTCAAGTCATTAAAATAGACGTATTAACATGCGCATAAAACGAATCGAATGAAAAAAGAAAGTATTCATAGGGCAAACTCGTGATAGCACGTGCACAAAATAACTTGTCACACAAATTAGTGTCACAGTATGAAAGTGAGAATCAAACCAACCCACTTGGTCCTACATTACTCTCCAAAACTCAGAACACAGGCACTGTTGTAGCAGGGTACACTGACTACCTAACACATATTTCCGAGGTTGTTTTGTAATCAGTAGGATGGCGAGCACGCGGATGACATGCCCACCTCAGAGTTAAACCGGTGATTATCATGTGAGGAGTATGAATATGGAAATTGGGGGAAATATCATAAAGAATTAGAACATTTCTGCTGTTGTCACACTAATTATAACGGTTTTTAGGACTATGATTTGTGACTTAGAGGTATAAATTACAAAAGTAGCTGAAATATATGCGTCACTAACTGTGGCATACAGACAAAAATTACAATATCAACCTCCTAAAAATACACGTGAAAAAGTAAAAACTTACAGGAAGCGAGGTTTCATCCCGACATTCATTTACGGAAACTTCTAACAACCATACTGCTCGAGAGTTTACGACTTTTCGGGGGTATCAAGTCATCTGCATCCTGCTCGAGCACCGCAGTAGAGTGCATCAGCGGTGTGCCTAGTGCGTTTCCATTGTCATGAGACATACATTGTGGATATCTCAAAAATAGAAAAATGCCAATAAAGGGTTTACCTCTTAAGGCTATCTATCGTTTTCTTTTTTTCATTCAAAACGGCTGAGAATTTTGAAAGCAGGACTGTTTCTTTATCCTCCATTTCTGACATCAATTCTTTGTACCTCTGAAAATATTTCAATCTCAAATATTACCTTTGTCGAAACTTCTGCTAACGACCTAAGGATTTCATTTTCCTTCTTCGTATCTTGCAAACACGTTAATAAACCAGTACAACCGGCGACGAATTTAAATGTAAGTTCCTGAAGAAACTTCAAATTATCTTGTGCACGTTGCATACGAAAAGACCCGAGAACAATCTGAGTTGTCATTTGGAAATGCTCTACCTACTTTGATGCCATTCTTGATTTCTTTAGACCATACAAACTTCAAGTCTAGACCATCCTCTGATAAAGAGAAATATCGCGATGGATCAGTGGAACTAAACGATTCAAAAAAATTCTGCATGTACTGATCTCGTGACTGCTTAACTGAGTCACACATCACATCCAATTCTTTGCCATCCACTGACATTATTTGCAAAGAAAAGAAATGAACAAACCCAGTGAACACCAAAACCCATCTTTATTGGCTACAATGAGGAGGGAACCCGCCTCATAGAGAAATACAACATCATAGCTATTGACTTCTGCCTGTCCACAATACTTTATTTGCATTCCCACAGTACAGACAGACAGGAAAGTCAAGAAATGTATCAGTCACTCCAGTCGCTAAATTGCAACAGACGCACACTGCTCGCGTTAAGGCCGAGCACTTGAAGGTCACTTGTGCAAACTGTGATTGGCAGGCTTTCTTTTGCGTGAACATGAGGCTAACAATATGTTACTGAAGCAGGATTTGAAATCAGATTGACATTACACAGTCAGATGATTGTAAGCAATAGTTTTTGTTTGAAACGTCATCAGTTAATATTACTGTATAACACTGTGATTTATCAAAATAAAATCTTATCCATAATAGAGTTATACTCTATCACAGTGCCCAAGTTTTATACTTATATCAATAATACAGTCAGAGGTGTTGATTGAGGATAGATGGCCTGTAGCTTATGTTAATCATTTTTGCGTCGTGCACAGTGGTTAGACTATCGCCGACCGTCCGGGTTCGATCCCTGCCGCACCATATCAGTCACTGAATTTGCTGATATCATGCGAAAATTCCACACTTGTACTAATGTTGGAATCAAGTGTAATCAAAAAATCCTAGTAAATTTCTGTGCTTGTCCAAATCATTCTTGAATTGGTGAATAGAAGGCTGTTACACCACTTCTTCTGGGAGTTGGTTCCAGGAGTTGTTAAATAGGAGTGGAAACAAGTACCCCAAGAATATATAGTTCCTCCTTGGTTTTTGAACTATGCTGCCATGTCCTCTGCGGTGTTCCGGCCCAGTGGGATGAAAAAGAGGGGAAAGATCATGTCTGTAGTCATTCTTTAGAGTTTAAAATATTGTGATTAGATCTTTCTGCCTATGGTGTGACAGGGAGAAGCAATTTAAACTGTTTAGTCTCTCCTCATATGATAAATTGGTCATGCCGAGCAAAATACATTTTGTCTTCCATCGGAACCTTTCTAGAATGTGAGTCCCCTTTAAGACAAGGGCTGGCTGTCTGGATATTATTTTCCTGTCCTGGACTCACAATAGATGTGTAAGGCATGAACATGTCTCTAGGGATTCTAGTAAGAGCTCTACGAAGTTCTCATATAGATCTGAAACTATGTGTAGCCAATGCACGGCATTGTTCTGTAGTTTCTAAGTGGTGACTTAGCACGACAGCTAAATCCAAATGAGTCTGAACTGATGGCAGTGTTATTCCCTCTAGTTCATATCAGCTATTGTTGACGTACCCCAGGCGCATGGTTGTGCATTTTGATATGTTGGTCGGGAACACTCAATCTCTGGATAACTCCAACAGTTTGTCAAGGTCCACCTGCAATTTAAGCACACTTCAGCTCCTTTCGAATCTTTAAGTCATCTGCTTACAGGACCATAGGGGAATCAGTAAGCAGAGATAACTCATCGAAATACAAAACAAATAAGAAGGGACAGGGTGAAGTACTTTGCGGCACTCCACTACGTACTGTTTCCAGGAGGAGAGTTTTAAGTTGATCCTGGCTCTCTGTCTCCTACCTATTAGGAATTCCCTGATTCACTTTAGTAAGCCGCCTTTGGTTCTGAAACTTTCCAACTTCCAAAGAAGTCTTTCGTGATGTACTTTGTCGAGGGTTTTGCTTAAGTTTATGAAGATGACTTCAAAGGTTCTTTTACTGTCCCCTGACTTGACCCAGCTTTCTCTTGCAATAAGGTTTGAAACGCATAAGACGTTCCCTCAGAAGCCATCCTGAGCTCTGCATAACAAGTTGCTGTTTTCCAGATATGCTATAACACCTTTCATGATGATTGTTTCTAGTATTGTGATGAATGTGCTGGTATGCCCAATAGGCCCGTAATTTGAAGGAGGGTGTCTTGATATTCCTTTGCCGATGAAGGTTACTATGGCGTCCTTCCAGTCACCCCATTCAGGAGAGGTAGCCTGAAGATCGTAGTCAGTGTGCGAGCTATATGAGTTGATAGCCCCTTGAGAAGCCTTACGTGAAGGTCAACAGGTCCCACCGACTGCTCCACATCTAGTTTCTTTCCGAACTGAATATTATTTCCTGGTCGACATCGATGAAGTCTATCCTGTATTCCTCCGATGCGGCCAAACCTGACGCCATGGGGAGTGGCGGCTCCTGTGTAGAGACATTGGAGAAGTAGTCTGCCACTGCCACTGCTTCTCCCTCGTTCCCTTCGGTAGTGTCATTGTTCATAGTCATGCTTGGGACCTCGATGGATATCCTGTTCCTGGGGTTTGCGTACGGAAACAATTTTCTTAAGTCGTGCCATTGCATTTTGATCCAGGTATGCTTCGAACTTCATCCTCGATTGGCGGATTTCTGCAGTAGCTATGTTTCTAGTGACGTTGTATAAATTTCTGGTCTCAGAAGTCTCAAGTGTGATAAATAGGTTCCAGCATTTATGCTTATGCCTGAGTAGTCTACATATCTCTTGGTTTATTGATGGGGGACAGTGTTTTTGACCCTTTGGGACAGATCAAGAAGTGAAAGTTTGGGTTGGCATGGCGTAAAGTTTCTAAAATTAGTCAAACGCAGCTTCCACGTAAGAATTTGAATTGATATACCAGTCCGGTGATGCAGCAGTCAATACCTGGCGCTTTAATGGGCGTACCAAAGCTTAGTCCAGATGGCGTTTTGGCCTATAATACTGTTGCTGAGAACTTGCAAGTGAGCACAGTATGATCACTTAAATAAATAAATAAATTTATTCTCATAGTACAGTACATGAGGGACGCCAGTTTACAGGCATCATCAAATTGTTTCAGAAATAGAACCATATAATTCAATCACAATTTACAGGCAGTAGCAAGATATGCTTTACATGTTCGCTGGAGATCATACATACACTTGATAAATGTTAATCCCAGTAGTATAAAACAGCATTTTCACTTATATACAGTCATTTCTGTGCACAATTGGAAAAATATGCTAGATTGTCACTGAGTGCAACACAACAGGAAATACAGAAGCATTGTCTTCGCATTAACAAAAAACCAGGTCTTTGGTGGATGGATTATAAGTGCATGGGAAAAAAATAAAGCTTGAAGTCAATTTTCATACATAACTTCGTTGTGTGCAGAATCCTTGAATTATAGTTCATTGATGTGTTATTTTGAAATCAGTGATGTGTTTATCTCATTTGATCTGCAATGTCATTGTTGGGAGTAAATATATAAGCTTCAGACGCATTAATTAATGGATTTCTACTGCTTGTGGGTATTTTCTTAGCGTGAGGAAGGTTTATGAATTTCAGCTGTTCCGACAGGAGTTGAGAATATTAACTGCTCAGCAACATTATGGATATAAGTTCATCACATTATCTAAGGAAAGGTGGGTTGCAGTTGGTGAGGGAACGTATGGTGTTAGGTCTACACTCTCACTGTAGCAGAAAACCAGATCCAAGGTTGAGGAGATGTGGTGTGAGTCATAGCGCAGGGACTTCCTGACCACTTGGACTGGGGTCAGTGAATTAGTAGGTTCCAAAAGTTGAGGGTCAAAGGAGTTATGTTAAAATAATCCCAGCATATTGAAAACAATTGACAAGATTTTTTTGAACTTATCGTTATGTAGGCCACAGCTTCTTCAGAAAAATTATTTAGATTTTATTAACCATCAAAATATATAGTCAAAAATTATATAAACTGAGGTGAACCCTTTTGAAGGTCGCTTTTCGGTAGACATTTATGCCAGTAAAGAATTGCCGACAGTCACCATATATCTACAGTGCCCAATGTCAAACTATCACCTGTGCTAATCTGGCAGCATGAGTATGTGTTAGTTATATTGAAAAAACGTCAATTAGTGTGAACAACATGATATTTTATGGAGATACCAACACAGGATCGAATAATTTTTTCACCTGTTTCGCTTTATGAGAGATATTCGTACTGATGATTTGTCGATCCCTTTTTTCCAGGCTTTATTTTTACCCCATTTCTAGGAGGACGTTCGGTGTAAAGTCTGAGTTCTATCACTTTGACCTTCACTTGTTCACCACTTCCCCAACATCCTCAACACTTTAACCCATAGACACAGTCGTTTTGTGTCATTTTCGGAAGCATATCTCACACACTCACCGAAGCTTTCTCTAACGAATTAGAGGGAATTATACGAAGAAATTACTTTTTGAAGCTGTTTGGCCGTTTCCTTTCGAAATGCGATGGGTGTAGTGGATACCCAAGATCTTTCAGCTTTCTTTCCCCTCTTGTTATTTCCACTGATAACGTTATTTAGAAGCCCTCTCGGATAACCATTTCCAAGCGAAATTTACCTTAAACTGGAGATCCCCATCTCCATATCATAGCTATTTTGTAATATTTCTGGCTCTCTTTACGAAATTAAATGCCATTAGGACCTTCATTCTTATTGGATGATCCGACTGAGAATTCAAATATCTGTTTGAATGTGCCGGTTTTCCTGAGCTTTCCGTCAGTTCGTCTTTCAACAATGTGAGGCAAGGCAGTTCAGTTGGCTTTCTTATGTTTAAACTGTTTGCTTATCTGATCTCAGGTCGGCTGCATAGCCTGCATGGACTGGTGGCCCAAGCCGACACGATGAGCGACCAGCAGAAAGATTCTTCCGCCCTCACACATCTGTAACAGTACTAATTGTATACAGAATCGTTAACCTTGCGTACTCATTCTTGCTGTTACGCAGCACTTGTGCGGGCGCTCTTCCAGCGTGTGCTCTGCTCTCTGTTTCGAATCGCTGCATAACGGTTGGCATCATATGAATAACGAGAGAGGGAACGTTTTGTCTCTTGGTCTCGATTCACTGGTACTACGAGGAGCACTTCAAGTGATCAGCAGATATCAGCTAACCAGGGTATTGATCAGGTAGCTGTGGCAATGGCCCAAGCCTTGCAATTAAATCGGGCTGGGTCGCGTTATGTTCACCCTTAGCCACATAAATCGGAAGCCGGTGATGATTGTGACCTGTGGTTGCACAAGTTGCTTTGATACATCGCTCCGATGAACTTCCCTCACCTAAATGCATTC